GTTAGGCAGACTAATTGCTGCTAACACTGTTTCATTAGATAGACTAATCTCTGCTACCTCTGTTTCGTTAGGCAAGCTAATCGCTACTACCTCTGTTTCGTTTAGCAGTCTAATTGCTGCTACGTCTTTTTCGTTAGGCAGTCTAATCGCTGCTACCACTGCATCGTTAGGCAGTCTAATCGCTACTACCCCCGTTTCGTTAAGCAGGCCAATCGCTGCTACCACCGTATCGTTAGGCAAACTAATTGCTGCTACCACTGTTTCATTAGCTAGGCCAATCGCTGCTACCACTGTTTCGTTAGGCAGACTAATTCCTGCTGCCACTGTTTCATTAGATAGGCTAATCGCTGCTACCTCTGTTTCGTTAGCAAGCTAATCGCTTCTACCAGTTTCGGTGAGCAGTCTAATTGCTGTTACCTCTGTTTCGTTAGGTAGACTAGTCGCTGCTACCACTGTTTCGTTAGGCAGGCTAATCGCTGCTACTTCTGTTTCGTTAGGCAAGCTAATCGCTACTACCTCTCTTTCGTTTAGCAGTCTAATTGCTGTTACCTCTGTTTCGTTAGACAGGCTAATAGCTGCTCTTGTGCATTTTCCGGTAATAATGAATGCACCGTCATTTACGGTAGGTCGCAATTGCTTCGGTTGATATCATCCTATAGCATCACCATAGAGTTTTATTTCGATGACCACTGAGTTTTCAAAATTTTAAAATTCAAAAGACGTAATATTAGTAAAAAATTAATTAAACTATACTTTTCGATTATCGAAAATCGCTCACAGAAATAGATTAGCTCTGGCTGCTCTGTTGACTGCAATCTGTTAGAGACAGGGAGTCATTCTGGCTGTTATAGGAAATTATTTTAAAATGGAGATATTTGTCGGGCCAGATATAATTAAATTTTCGATTTGTGGATTTTAAATGTTCTTCAGATTTTTTATTTTATTTTGTTTTATACAAGAAAATTGCAATGACCGGTGAATAATAGCTTTATAACTGGAATATAGAATTTAAAAATACAATGGAGAAAATCCCTACTTTTAATTCGAAACCCTGTCACCAATTCAGGAAGGACTGCTTTAAATGAACGTAGACAGCAAATGGATTTAAAGAACTGAAACATTGCTAAGATTATGCTCATGTATGGCAGAATGCCAGAAGAAATTAGACTATGAGCTCTTTCTTGTGATACAAGCAATTGATGCATGCAAGTTTAACTGTCTTTCTATTTCTCTCTCTCTCTCTCTCTCTCTCTTAATCTCTCTATTTTTCTCTCATTTTGTCATTCTCTCCCTCGCTCTCTTTTCTTTCTGAATTGGTATGTGTTCTAGTTTTCTTTATATAACCCCATTCCCAAAGCTCTTCGATCAGAGCTCGTAAACACAAACTGAATCGTCTACATTTCTGAGATGAGGTATTATGTACACTGCGCATAATACTATACTGTATTATGTAATATTCTAGTTCCACGTGCCATGTCTAATGGATGTCAGATATCAGTTTTCTCCTGTTAATTCACATTTCCAAGTCCTCCACCGCCTTAACCAGGTATTGAACTCACACTGTCACTGGATCCAACCAAGACATTTATTCATTGTGATATGTGTCCTCAAGGACACATGACACAGTGGATAGAGGCGTTAGTTAGATCCAGTGACAGGATACAAAGAGTGTGAGTTCAATACCTGTTTAAGGCGGTGGAGAACTTCCAGAGGGGAATTAACAGGAAATAACTGATATCCATTATAGATGGCACGTGGAACAAGAACAGTCTACACCAGTGTTCGAAATAAAGGGTTCAGTTCGACATTTGAACTACCTGGAGAAGGCCGGAGTGTACAACGACCGAAACGTTGTGATAAAGATGAGGACAATAGTCCGAATAATGTAAATAGTGTACAAACTGACACATACAGAATTTGAATTCGGTTCGCCAGTCTCTCTACAGTTCTAAAACCTTTCTGAGGCCGATAAATTGTTTTCTCAACAACAGTCGATTTCGAATTGACTGATCGCTGCTAGCCTATCGTTATTGTCAGGACTGATGTCTGAACGAACAAAATTCCTCTATTTCTCCAGGCCAGACCTCCACGCTTAGCACCTACCATAGCACCTACACTGCCTTTTCATGTTTTATTCCATTAGTAAAGAAGAAGATCCATTTTAAAGACTTCTTCGCTACAACTATGGCATTGTGAGGCAAACAACCAAGGCTATGCCTTCCCGCTCACTATAATCAAATCCGGGTAAAATAAAAATCTGCATCATACACTTCCTCAAAATATGCTCCTCTTATATCCTTAGAGCAAAGGTTTAATAAAATCGCTACCTTGAGTGGCTCATTGGCCCGGTATTGGGTGAAAAATAATAATAGAAAATAACGAAGCGAACTTGGCAAAGGACGTAAGTTATATATAATGTATAATCAGGAGAACACGTGACGACATGGCCAATTGGCGCTGAGGCAAAAATCGTGATTTGATTGGCTGGAAAGTTTCATTCATCATGCATATTAATGAGATATCACAGAACATTTTTTAAAATCTTTTTTCCGTGTTTTACAAATTTTTTTATAACAAAAATATAAGATTCTCCTGAAGACTGCAAAAGATGCCTGGAGCAATTCTTTGGTGAGAAAAATTAAAAATACCTTCAAGGATGGTTTTTTGATTAAAAAAAATCTATAAGAATATCGTACAAATCTGTAAATTCCCCATATATATATATATATATATATATATATATATATATATATATATATATATATATGTGTGTGTGTGTGTGTGTGTGTGTGTGTGTTTTCGGCAGCATGTTTTCATTGAGACATGTTTCCTTGAATAATTTAGACATGTTCTGTCTATTTATTTTCAATGGGACACTTTCCTACTAGCGGATAAAAATATTCAATTGGATCCTTTCATATTTACGGATAAGCTTTTTGGTGTCGTTATTGCAAAACGGGAGAAACTCTCCGTGTTGATGCATATTTATTTTATTTTCAAGTACTTTCGACATAGCTCAATGTCATCATCAAACCATGCTGGAGTGACCAGACCTTGACCAAAGTAGACTCCTCCTCCCCCAATACTAAGTATGCTTGAGAGAGATATTAAATTAATCCCTCCCTAAACTCTACCATGTCTCTTTACCCACCCATTTTACACTCTCCGTTAAATTACAAAAACTTACACTACCCATCAATTTTAATTGCATTTTTCGTTTCATTTCATTTTTGGAAGTGCTATCTGATGATCCGGCGTCCTTTAAAAGGGCTCTGGTGAAATACATTATTATAATGGTACCTTAAAGTGGTTTGTTTTTCTTTAAAATATTAGCTCTGGATTTACATTGTATGTATGTATGTATATATATATATATATATAATAATAATCAATCATCATCAATCAATCTTTCGACGTATGAGGGTCAAACAGATCAGTTTGAAGGGACAGGAAACCGACAGCCCGACACAGGCATTCCAACCAGTTGCCATCCAGGCTATACCCATTAGTCTATCCACCCATAGTCCTACCTTTCTCCGTAAGTATAATGGATTATGGAACGAACTCGGCTCTGCGGAAAGCCGCTATATTTGTGACGAAAAGATATTTGTGACGCGTTTTATCAGACTGGGCTTTAATGAGGTTGCAACCTTTACACATGCGCACGAAACGAGAGACACCGGTGGCTTCAAAATTTTTTGAAAGAATTTTTTGCTGAAAGAATTTTTTTTTCAATATAACCGAAATCATCTGTATTCTTTTTCATTTTTTGTGTCTCGCCATCACCTTTGTTCCTGATTATCCAACACTGTGACAATATAAAATCTACCAAGAATTTTGATATATTGTAAAAGCCTGGACGCAAATTTATTGCCAGACATTTTCATGTCAGTAGGTTATTTTCTGTTTTAATCAAAGTAGTATTCCCTACATCAAAAACTCTGGTTCGTTTTGCTACGGTGAACAACGAAAGCGTTTTTATTTAAAATACTGTTTGCTGATATATAAAATTAAAAAAAAACTATATATATATATTTCTGTTGTTTACTGCTACCAGCAAGCAGAAATATTTCTTCTCCCGATGATGGCCATATTGGCCGAAACTAGTCGAGGAATCAAAATGAAATAATAATAAAAAAATGAAAGAATATTTATCTACAATCCGGTGTATCTGAAGATTTTAATTTTTTAATATTTTTTATTGTACAATATATATAAATATTGTTCAATTATTAAGCTTTTTTTCATATATATTTGGGTCTAATCCTTGGTGTTTTGACGAGTGCTTTCGGGCATCGTCATATTAATTTGTTTAAAACTGTGCCTTTGTTTGTATCTGTTATTATTTGTTTGACTATCTTATTTATTAGCTTCTTTTGATCCTAAACATTCACGTGCAACATTAATAAACGTTTTTTTTGCTCAATTCTGGGAATTTTACTAAACCTTTCTAATAATTTGGCACGGTCAAATCACCGTGCTGAAAATAAATATGGCGCCAGTTTCTTTACATTGGGAAGATCAGTACAATAATTTCAGTGATTGCGCAGGTCAGTGTTGCCAACATCATGTGAAAATTTTGTGTGAATTAATTAGACGGATTTTGAAATATTAGAAAAATGTGATTTGATAATAATTTGGCACGCAGTATAAAATGTTTAAACTGATCTTCACAAAGAGTTTAGTTTGGTTTGGTTTACGGCATATCAATCTTAATGTTTTATTTAATACCGACAAAATTTATTGCTGCTATCTTTTAAAAATAAAATAAATTGCTGGTAATATTTTTTCTTTAAAAATGTATTGCTGGTAATATTTTTTTTACAGAAATGTATCGTTGTTAATATTTTTCTTCAAAAATGTATTGCTGGTAATATTCTATTGCTGGAAATATTTTTTTTGTTCAAGAATTCATTGCTGTAATAATAATTTGCAAAAATATATTGCGGGTATTACGACAAATTTTCACACTTTCATATTGTTTGGGGGTTATCTATTTGTCCATAACTGGGACATTAACAGGTACTACGACCCTGGGTCAAGGTGAATCTGGGAACATCACCAATTAAGAGGTGGTTCTACACTCCTAAAACCTTCTAATCAGAGGTCTTGCTGTTGGATGTAGTTTATCGTCTTCCTCGGGACGCGGATGTCGTTTATCGTCATATCCAGAACGGCCACAAAAAGAAACAGGGCTGCAATTGTTTAGCGATTTTTTAATGTTTTCGAAGTAATATCTTAAATTATATATATATATATATATGTGTGTGTGTGTGTGTGTGTGTGTGTGTGTGTGTGTGTGTGTGTGTGTGTGTGTGTGTGTGTGTGTATTTTACAGCAAAAAAAAACAAAATTACTTACGTTTTATGTAATGCT